GCCCGCGTTCGGCTGCAGCCCCGTCCCCGCTATCCCCCGCCACCACCGAATTTAACATAAACCCCCGTGTAAAAACCCAAACGCCGCCGATTTGTATAAACTGCGCCTTTTTGCTACATAATCTCCTCCAGGAGCGTGGGGAAGGCGAGTACAAACAGGGATTTATTTTTCCATTTTTTTTCCCCCGGCTCTGATATTTTCCCGTCACCTACTAATGTTTCACGGCGTAAATACCCGCGTAGCTCCACCGGTGCATAATACGGACCGCGCTAACGAATCGCCGCCAGCCCGGCTCATTCGGCGTATTTTAAGACAAAAACCAGCACGGGAACGGGTTTGCGAAGCCCCTTCCCCGGTATTTCGTTGTGCGCCCTGGAGAGAGGAGGTTTGTTCCGTTCCCCGGCAGCATCCCCGGGAGGATGGAGGCTTTTCTGCGGAGGGGGAGACGCGGCACCACCCCGGCGACTTTCCCCTCAAAAAATGTGGGCTCATAATTTTAATTTTAGGTTGGTTTTGTTTTGAGTTTAAAAAAAGAAAAAAAAAAGAGAGAAAGGGAAAAAAGAAGGGAAAAAATATCCAAGCATCGAGAAAGCTGTTGGGTTTTGGGGAATAAACGCAGAGCAGGATTCTGCCCTGTGAGAAATGAGGGGTGAGGGAGATCCGGAGGGGGTCCTGGGCAGGAGCGCAGCGGGGCCCGGCCGGGGCCCCCCCAGCACAGCCCGGCGCTCCGGCCCCGCTCCCAGGCCCCTGGGAAGGGGAAAAGCCGGGCCCGGCTCGGGGACCCCGTGAGCCTCCCACGGGCAGCCGGGGTTTAAATTTGCGGGATCGTAGAGCAAACGCGCCGTGAACCCGATTCGGTGCCTGAGCCCGTCGCCTCCGGGTTATGGCTGCAGTCGGATACCCTCCTCTTTTGAGGGTATTTCCCTTCACTTCCTGCCCTGACCTGGCCTCTCTTCCTCCCTCTCTGCCCAGTGAAAGAAGAAGGGGACCGAGAGATCTCCAGCTCCCGGGACAGCCCCCCGGTGCGGCTGAAAAAGCCGCGCAAAGCCCGCACCGCCTTCACCGACCATCAGCTGGCCCAGCTGGAGCGGAGCTTCGAGAGGCAAAAATACCTGAGCGTGCAGGACAGGATGGAGCTGGCTGCCTCCCTCAACCTCACCGACACGCAGGTGAAAACGTGGTACCAGAACAGAAGGTAAAAAAATGCGCCGGTCCTTCCTGCCCACAGCGCCGGGGTCCCATCCTGCCCTTCTCCCCGGCCCCTCACCCCCAAGCCGGGCAGGGTTTCGCACTCCACAGCCATCCCGTCCCTCTTGGCACCAGGAAAGATGCGGTTTCTTCCCCCGCCCCGGGACTGCCTGTGTCCCGGGGGCCTTTTACCCCGGAGTAAGGGCGGGAAAAGTAATGCCGAGACAGGGCAGGTTTGGGGGGGAGGCAATCCGTGCCCCCAGCCCCAACAAGGCGGGGAGGCAGGACCGGGCTTCCAGCTAAACACAACAGCATAACACATCGGCCTATTAATAATAGATACCAATTACTGCTTTGGGCATCAATAATTAACACCCCTTACAGTAATTACACAATTATTATTATGATGAATAATTTACTGGTGGAAATAGGTTTAGCGCTTCGGCGACAAATCTGTAAAAGGGCTGGAGACGTGTGATGGCTTCAGTGGATCCAGCTAAACACAACAGCATAACACATCGGCCTATTAATAATAGATACCAATTACTGCTTTGGGCATCAATAATTAACACCCCTTACAGTAATTACACAATTATTATTATGATGAATAATTTACTGGTGGAAATAGGTTTAGCGCTTCGGCGACAAATCTGTAAAAGGGCTGGAGACGTGTGATGGCTTCAGTGGA